TTTCCTGGACTAAACCCCACCAGCCCAAGTAGGAGAGATGTTCGGGGCTTTTTAGGAGGCAATGAACAGCTCACCTAATTTAGTAGTTAACACCTGATAGAAAAGCATATCTTTTCTGGAGTCCAGGCTCTACTTAGTGCCTATCTGCTGGAGAAAATCAAAGACAAAGACATAAATCACTGGGATGCCAAGGACACAGCTAACTGCTATTTGTGACTACTTGAAGTCCATGTGCTCCTAAATATTATTTTTTTCTCCTTATGTAATGTTAACATGTATTTATCCATTCACCTGCCTCTAGCTGTTCCTGACTAAAGGTTAAGTGGTTGTGAAACCACATGCACCGCAGAATCCAAAGCAGCTGTTTTAAACTCTTGGACAGTGGTGGTGCCTTGTAGCTTGCTTTTGATGAGCTCCAGGAGCAGCTGAGGGTGAGCTGTCTTTGACTATCTGGAGGTTTTAATGTCCTCCATGCAGATCATGCCAACCTGGCTTGCCAGAGTTGGGGTCATTGTGCCCTGAGACACTTCAAGATGGTGCTCAAGGGAGCTGTGCTCTACCGCCACCTGGGCCCCTCTGGCAGGTGAACTTGCATTTTCAATTTGATGCTGTTTTTCTTACCCTCTGTAGGGACTCACACGCAGAACTATTATTACTTGCATGTTGCTGACTCATACGCAGAGGAAAAAGTAATTTTGTCTTAACACCTCTTCCCTGTCATTTAAGGCATATGTTAATGAAAGACAGATTTTGGCATCCACTCTCCTCTGCAGCTTTGAGGCCACAGTATATATTCATTATAAATGAAGATGCAACTGTTATTTTACTTCTATTTATATTTATAACTACACCAAAGCCAACCTTCAGGTAACTTTGGGCCTCTCAAATCCCAAGCCATATTCCGAGGAATGCTCAACATGTCATGCTTGAATTGGCATTATTGTACATACAATGTTTTAAACAAAGATGTTTTCACTCATTTTATTATTGACACTCCCTGATCACATATTTTAGATTATGCTGGAGCTGATCCCTTTGAGGGTTCCCCCTACCCCCTTGCAGTACAGACTCTTTAAGTGAGGAGTATGCAAGTGATGGGTGCTCTGTGTGCTCGCAGGGGAGCCAAGTGGAAGGCTGAAGCCCGAAGCAGGTGGGGCAAGAGCAGAAGTAAACATATGGAGAATGCTGAAAAGAGCTGACTGCAAGCTTTTGCTTTGTCATTCCTCTTCGTTCCTTTCCTTCTCTTCCTTCCCAGTCTGTAACTGTGGATAAGTACTACCTACCTATTTCATAGAATCACTGGATCTAGAATGAGCTGTCTCCTTGAAGATCGTCTGATCCAAACTCCCACCCATTGCTATAATTCTCCGCTTGATTCAGGAGCTCTTTTTCTTCTCCAGCAGCTTTCCCGAACATCATTTGAGTCTATCAATTAAAAGTGTACTGATGAGACTAGAGGTTTTGGAATCAGACACTTCTGGGCCCAAATTGTGTTTCTGCCACTGACTCGTGGTGATATCCTAGGCAAATTACCCAATACCTCAGAGCTCCAGTCTTATCTGTTAAATGGTTACAATAAAAACTTACTCATAGGAGTTTGAGGATTAAATGAAGGAATAATGTGGTATATAAAAGTGTAGTGTATAAGAGACTTAGCACTCAGAGGTAAATTAAGAGCAGCTAAGCGGTTCAACAGGAACTAGGACCCATGCTTCCTGTCTGACTTGCAGGCAATATCTTTCCATGCATTTTACTGTCTTATTCACAAGGTCTCATAAAACCACTGAAAAAGTTTCTGTTGCTGGAGTACTCTGTATGCTGCCTTGTAGACTGTAAATACTGTTATTAATAACAATACCTTACATATATTCAGTGCTTTAGATTTTACAATGCACTTTTCACAGGAGGGGAGGTGAATACCCACACCAACACGTCTACTGATGACTAACAGAGGCAGAAAGCAGAAGAAGCAGAGGCTCAGAAAAAGGCCTATTAATGATGCAAATGTGAAGTTATCTGCACTTGTGAGGAGCATAACAAACATTAAAACCAATTAGAAGTAATAATGCGTGATATATTCTGGCTTCAGAAATTGGCTTTGATGAGTTGGAAAACCAGAGGAATACAGCATAGGAGTCTGGGGGCAAGAATTTAAGTCACCTGATGTTGAACGGTTTACATGGTCCTGATGCCCCGGAGGGCAGCTCTTTGCATATGGGTGAATAATTTTCACGTACAAATGAGTATAGCAACGATTTAGACTGCATGATGGTAGAAACCTCGATGTATTCATAATTTAGAGACAACGCATATGGAACTGAGACAAGCAAAGCAAATAAGTTCTCAGAAGTCAACATTAACTGGGTGTTTCAATACGACAAATGTGTCATATACCGAAATGCAAAACGTTTAATAATAGAAAACCGCTACCTTGGCTTTCTCACAACCTTATGAAACAGTACCTCATGTGTGTGAGAATTTTTACATTTGGAAAATGCTCAGAAGTGAATTTTTATAAATGGAGGAAAACAGAGGGTGCATTTTTAATATAGCACATTTCATTGTTTCTGTATTATAAAATGAAGGAACACATCTTTTTCTGTTAGAAAGAAAATAGTCCTTTTGAAATTCAGCTCCTCCAGCAGATGAATTTTTAAATATCAAACTCTGCCTAACTAACTAGTCCTAGCTCCATGGATGTGAGGGAAAAAATGAGAATTTCACGCAGTTATCAAATATTTTAAACTAATACCCAAGCAGATACATTTGCAACATTTCATGATTTCTTAATATCTATAGGCAATATTCCAAATCAGGTCTTTCTCTTTTTTTTCCTCTGCCAAAAAAAATCTACATTTTGTCTGGCAGCAAACTCTAAGTAGGGGGTTGATTCAGGTAGGCTAAGGGAGAGAAAGACTGACCAGACAAGCAGAAGACACTGATAGAAATGGCCCATTGAGCAGCCATGTGGAATAGGAGGTCTATGCTAGACAGAGCCCAAAAGAGCCCAGTTTGTGTCTCACAGTCCAAATTTGGTTGATGTATTTTTGAAGTTTCTAAAGGTTAACTACATGCTGTAATACATTCTAGAAAGACACGGAGCACAATTTTACTGTGCCAGTCAAGAAGCTGGCTTGAATCTGCTATTTAGGACAGAGAGAGACAGTACAATTTACATGTATGAGAATGTGGGAATAATTTTACCTTCTGTTGTTTTTAAAACCACCTTGGGCCATGATTTTTAAATTGAGACACAAGAAGATCTGGGGGTTCCCATAGCAACATTAACTTATCTAACTGCCCTTGCTGTACGTAATACCTTCGTTACTAGTTTGGCTTTTAAATATACACTTTAATCAGGAAAACAACTGAGTTAAGAGTCTCAGGCAAATTTTGACTTTTACATTTACTGCATGTTTAAACAGAAACCTTGATATTGTACTTCTGAGGACTTGTTATCAAGGCAAATGTATGCAAAAACCTTCCGTGGTTTTCCTTGCCCCGATCTCTGACCTCACTGCATTCCATTCTGTTGACGACTCCTCAATCAATCTCTCTAAATATATTTATAACACACCATGGCTAGGATAAAACAGAAACAAACCAACCTTGGATGGCTCTAGTCCAGAGACCAGAACCCAATGCACCCTCTATCCAAGGCTGTCTATAGATGCCCTCCCCATCTTTTCTCCACTATTCCGAATCATGAATATCCATATCCCCACCAAACATACCTGTCTTCTCACCATCTTCTGAGAGCATATGTTCTAGGACTAGCCTGAGACCTACCTCCTCCCAGAACCCTGATTCTTTCCCTTCCATCCCACAGCTGATCTTTCTCTCTCTTCAGAACCATTATTACTACTGCTACCACCACACGATGTCTGTGACTGGGCAGAAACCCTCCCCTCTTTTTTGATAACAGTGTCTTGATTTTCCTTTGAGGAACTTGCCTCCATTCCATATAGTCTGGTGGTGCCATCAAATAACCTGTCCTGCCCCATTCTGTCAAAAGATGAATCCACGGGGTTTCCCTGGTGGCGCAGTGGTTGAGAGTCTGCCTGCTGATGCAGGGGACACGAGTTCGTGCCCCGGTCCAGGAAGATCCCATATGCCATGGAGCGGCTGGGCCCGTGAGCCATGGCCACTGAGCCTGTGCGTCCGGAGCCTGTGCTCTGCAACGGGAGAGGCCACAACAGTGAGAGGCCGGCGTACCGCAAAAACAAAAAGATGATCCAAATCGGACCAATCATATTCTTCCAGAAGTTGAATTTTAAGTGAGTTCAAAAAGGAAAAATATTTGGAACTGATCATTCTGATGGTGGTCCTTTCAAGAGATTGTCCATGTCTTCCAGATTTCTGTGGCTCATAATCAATCAAGCATATCAGCTAGTTGATAAGCTCCCTATTTGAGTACTTGCTCACATATTATCTTAGATCATGATTTAGAGCCTTGGGATGCACAATTTGCTTTGCCAGCTAGAGCCTATTAAGACAGAGCTGGGTCTTTGTTGTATTATTCCATATAATTCAGCACAATGTAAGTACTCAGTATATGTTGTATAATGAATGACAGACCAGTTTTAGAAACTCCATTTTTACCAAGTACAATTTGCAAGCCAATTTATGTCTTTTTTGAGGCAAGGTGGTAAATAAATTTTTAATTGCTACGATTTAAGAATTTTCTTGGGTATGACAGTTGTCTTAAAGAAGGCTTCCAACTTGTACACCTAAGAATAGCCTGAAAATAATATTAGCATTGGTCATACTTCCCCAATTTTAGGAAAGGAAAGAGAAACTAAAATTCTGTTTCAGACATTAGTCTGTGAATTAAAGAAAAAAGAAGTTTTGGGACGAACAACGACAAAACAAAAAAATATATACTTTTGTCTTGGTCTTGTGACTTTCCTTGGAAACAAGGTGAGCTGCCTCTCTGCTATCACTTAACAGTGGAGGAGAGTTCAACTGTGTTCAACTAATGTATAAATAAAGTAGATGGTTTTTTTTCACTTCTAAAAAATGGCAGGTTTCCACTTCTCAGAATCATCTGACTTATATCGGTAATTTAACTGAATGCTTACAAAACTCAAAGAACAAACAAAATGGTTAAGATGTAATAAATCCAAACAAGCTTTAGCATATTAAGTTTTGAAAACACAGAATACTGTGCTCTCTTCCAAATCACTTACATGTGCTTAAAATGCACAAAAGAGCCCACCCATGGTAAACAGCAGGATATACAAATTCTCTTCTGTCTTTTCAAAAATGAAAGATTTACAGAAGACTTTGAATAGTGTAATCCTCTGGTTTGTACCTTAACATGATACATAGTTCAGCCATGAGAAAAGAGTGAAAATACCAATTTGGAGCTGTTTTGAGTGAAGGGTAATGGTTTCTGGAATTTTCCTTGAACCCACACTCGGTGCATTTTCACTTTTTTTTTCCTATTAACTTGTAAGCGACGATCGACCAGATTTTGCTTCTCATTTAACCCAGCCTTGCAGAACATATCGTGGACTTCCCCTGTGAGACAAGAATGGCAGTCAAATGTATGATATGTGACTTGGGGGGCGGGGCAGTCAAGAACAATGGAACATTAATGGAATGAATGACCATCTGAATTTTCATTTACACCAAGAAACATTCTCAGTACAAATTGGTGAAGGAAACCCATGACACCAAGTGGGTTTCTTCTATTTCACACAAACACACCAAGTATAAACAGTTGAACACAGCAGGTGTTAACAGATATACAACACTATCGGTTGCAGCTTTCAATATTCTGAAAGGTGCCCAGATCTGAGTTTTTGTTGGTTTGCAGAGACCCCAGATGGCACATTGTAAAAGTACTCACATAAGTTTGGGGAAAGTCCTTGAATGTAGGATTCATTTTAAATCCTTTTTTAAAATGAGAAATTGACAAGAGATAAGTAATTTTCTATGGACTCTTAAAATCACATTCCCTCTTTTGGCTGTGGCACGCCATCAATTTTTTCATATCTGGGCTAACAGTACCTCTGAAATGGAAACTTCGTTAGGGTATGAGGATGAAACAAGTGATTCTTTAAATTGGAAAAAGATTAAAAGGCAAAAAGGCCATTTCCAAGCTTTTACGTAGAACAGTTATAATCACTAAGGTGTAAAGACATCTAATGTTTATTCAACTCTTGAAGCCTCATTTTTAGGGCTTTTAAGTTTCTCCCTGCAAATAATACCCAAGGAAAGTTTTTACAGCTAATTATTTCCTCTTATAGATAAGCATACCTTTTATAAAGAAATATGCTCTGGTACCATCTCCTCGAACATAAAAGTTTTCAGATAAACAATGCCCTAAAAAAAAAAAAGTGTGACAAGTGAAACTTAGTATTAAGAAAACCACCACCACCACCACCACCAACAAAATTGACATGAAATGTAAACACAGCATTCTTTAAAACACAAGAAAATAACTCCAAACTGAATATACCATTACCCCTTTTAAAACGAAGCTGAGTCTTATCATATCTTCCATAGTCCCGAAATAACAGCATTCCCCCAGGTTTCAGTAACTTGGACAGTCGGTTTACAACACCTTGCATCCTTTGAAAACAAAGCAAGAGACTCTGTGGAAGTCTTGTTTTATATGTCACATTTAACCTCCTTAATGATAAAATAAGCACAGAGGCCAAAGAAATGTAAGCCACAAATATAAGGGGAAAAAAACCAAAAATATTTTGTATAGAAAGAAAAAAGGACACCAACTTGCTAAATAATCAGATTCAAAAAGCCTAGAATATCAAGAAATCACCCAAATGACCAGAGCGGTAACTTCACAGAGCTTGATGTGTAATGTCAATGCTGAACTGCAAAACCACATAGACATTCCTGATGTTAACAGCAAATTAAGGTAGTTCCAAGGCAGAAAAAAATGAAGTCGTTTCATTTTCCTTGCAAGATAAAAAACATGCCAGAACTGTCCCAATCAGACATAACTAACGGGGATCACCTTTCCTCCAAGACTAGCTGCTTTTCCTCCTGACTTCTTTATTTAGTTCAAAGGTACTAAATTCACCGAAGTGTAACACCTCAGAGAAATCTTTGACTGCTTTTATTTTTCTCTTCTTCCACTATCCTCAGCACAACCATTTGGTCATCAAATTGTATGTCTTTTTTAAAAAACTAAATATTTGATAGTTTCTCTCTCTCGTTTCCCATTGGTACTCCCTTAGTATACAAACTCCAACATCCTCAGGCTGGAAACAGAACTGCTTCTTAACAGGTGTTATTATTATCCCTGCCAATCCTTCCTGCATATTATTGATGAATTAGTATGCTTAAAATGATGGTTTTGTCAAATCATCCCTTTGCTCAAATTTTCATGATTTTAATCCACAGGATAAAATCTCAGTTTCTTATTTGAGCCCTTAAGATCACGTACAACTGACCTCAATCTTTCCAACATCTTTCCCACTACTTCCTTATCTGAAGCATCTTTAGCCAAACTGTTACATGCTTGGCTCTGAGCAGTCCATGCCTTTGCTCATGTGGTTTCCCCTCAAAGAATTCTCTCCTCCTTACTCTTTGCCTATTTAAATTCTATTCACACTCTAAGCCCCAGCTCAATACTGGGAAGCTTTTATTACTTTCTTTCTTTTACTGCTTATTCTACCCATCTGGTTCCCAAACATGACCCCTTGTGACTGTTTTTTTTTTTTTTAATTTATTTTTGGCTGTGTTGGGTCTTCACTGCTGCGTGTGGGCTTTCTCTAGTTGTGGCGAGCAGGGGCCACTCTTTGTTGCAGTGTGCGGGCTTCTCACTGCGGTGGCTTCTCATTGCGGAGCACAGGCTCTAGGCACGTGGGCTTCAGTAGTTGTGGCATGCAGGCTCAGTAGTTGTGGCTCACGGGCTTAGTTGCTGCGAGGCATGTGGGATCTTCCTAGACCAGGGATTGAACCCGTGTCCCCAGCATTGGCAAGCGGATTCTCAACCAATGTGCCACCAGGGACGCCTGTGACTGCTTTTGATTTAATGTTTTTGGTTAAGTGTTCAAGGCCTTATATGTGATTATGGTACAGAGATGACAAAGATTTCAGATCTCATATCAAGCCAAGTGACTGACATTGGCTGCCGACGGAGCTCTACTGAAAAGGACTCTTAAGACTCACAGGGAGTAACAATCTACAAAATCAATTATCAATGTCTGCCCTGGGCAGAGAATGGTAAATGGCAGCCTGTGTACTAAGTCCTTGCTGTTTCTGCTTTATCCAAGCTTCTTAAAGCTTCTGAGCATTCCTTATTTTAAAAATGAGGGGTTTTGATCAGATAATCTGTAAATTCCTTCCAATTAAAACACTGTTCAGGGACCTCCCTGGTGGCGCAGTGGTTAAGAATCCGCCTGCCAATGCAGGGGACACAGGTTCGAGCCCTGGTCCGGGAAGATCCCACATGCCGCAGAGCAACTAAGCCCATGCGCCAAAACTACTGAGCCTGTGCGCCACAACTACTGAAACCCGTGCGTTAGAGCCTGTGCTCCGAAACAAGAGAAGCCACCGCAATGAGAAGCCCACGCACCGCAACGAAGAGTAGCCCCCGCTCCCTGCAACTAGAGAAAGCCGGCACACAGCAATGAAGACCCAATGCAGCCAAAAAATTTTTTAAATTAAAAAAAAAAAAAATTTAAAACACTGTTAAGTGGAATAATGGGGTGAAACAGTGTGTCAGGTTATGAAAGAAATAGGTCGTAAGAAAATGAAAGTAACTATGAAAACAAGAGAGAAATGACAGAAAAAGGTGCCATGATTAGAAAAAAAGCTCTTTAAAAAACCTGGAACCTAAGTACGTGAAAGAGAAAAAGAAAAGTATTTTTCCTTGTTTATTTTATTACAGGTTATTTTCACACTGTGCTTATATCCTTAAAATTTGGCGATTAAAGAAAACCATATCTAAACCTTAAAACATTCACTTTCCGGATAAATGTTTTACATACAGAGAACAAAAATCTCTTTCTGAAATGATTAGCAAAACAAGCATGAAACGAAAACAGAAAAAAACAAACAGCCAAATACTTCAAAATGTAGCCTCCTTCTGCAAATCCTCTCCTCCCAACTATCCTTTAAAGTCTGCGTTGCAGGTGAAGGCAAGAGGTGGGGAGCTGCTTCTCTTATCAGCCCATCTTGGCTCATAATGCAATTCCAGAGCCAGTTCCTGAGAAATGCAGGTGGGAGTGGCCTGCAGGTGAGATGGACAAGAATGGGGGAAAGCCCCTTTTCTTTTTTCATCTGACTTGGGCCAACTCTGCTATCCTCACCTATTGCTGGATGGAGGGAGACGAGAAGGAAAAAAAGAGATTAAAAAAAAAGAGTGTTTATTGACTATTCTATGCTTAGATCTTTAGAAAACATATTATACTTTTATTTCAATAACAAGAAGGACAGCTACCTATTTTTTTGTAGCCTTCTATGGTTTACTCCCATTTAAGCTGGGACCCCAAGACTCAAGGTCTAGCTGAATTGCTTTTCCAAGCTGGCAATAAGCCATTTTTCTAGAATTTTCCTGGGGCTGAATCTACTACCACAGTGCTAGATGACCCTAAAGATACTACTGCCTTACTTTTCACTTACTATTACCCAACTTCTACTCATTCACCTCATTTTTAGATCATTTCCACGTAGGTAAGAAAGTAGCTACTGACATGATACATCTGAACTTATTTTATAATAAATAAATAGAATGAATATATGTACTATAAAAACAATCTTTCCAAGATATCTGCTTCCCCTTCTCTTTAATATTCAATTCAACTCATGACAAAAATACATTATCTAAACTAATTGAAATAGTCTTTTTGAGGTCTCATTTTGAATTTAAACATTTCCTGTTATAGGTGTCAGATAGAAAATCTTGTTCACTATCCACCTACTCTATCCTTTTTACTATTCATCCTTTTAACTGTGAAACAAAATACATAGGTGACATCCTTCTACCAGTAACTGAATAATGCCAACAGTATAAACAGATTAGCAGAAAGAAATAGGTTATAGAAACTGGGAGGAAGTAACTTCATGGAACTTGATATATCTCACCAGGTGCAATTATATATTTCATTCGTTATTTGGAAATCAAATTTGCTTTTCCACAAGTAATCAAAGTGCACATCTCTGAATGAGAAGTGAAAGGACTGTAAAGGGTCCTAGTGACCTTATAATAGCAAAGAAAGAAGGACACAATACTCGATTTCTTTGGGAAAGAGCCACACTCACCAAACAAAAAGGGGTTGATGCAA